TCTCCCAGTGCTCCCAGTTCCGCTCCCGTCTCGTGGCGGCTCCGGGGGTTCAAAGTCCGGTGGGGGAGGGGCAGGGCCTGGACCCCTCCCCCCCCATGGCCACGCCTCCCCCGCCGCGGGGTGAACTGGGAAAAACTGGGGTGAACTGGGGGAAAATGGGGCCAAAATGGGGTGAAATGGGGCAAAAATGGGGCCAAACTGGGCTAAACTGGGGGAAAATGGGATCAAAATGGGGAAAAATGGGGCTGAACTGGGGAAAAATGGGATCAAAATGGGGTGAAATGGGGAAAAATGGGGAAAAATGGGGCCAAACTGGGGTGAACTTGGGGAAAATGGGGCCAAAATGGGGTAAAATAGGGCAAAAATGGGGTGAACTGGGACAAACTGGGGCAAACTGGGGCAAAAATGGGGAAAAATGGGGTAAAATGGGGAAAAATGGGGTGAACTGGGACAAACTAGGGTGAACTGGGGAAAAATGGGATCGAAATGGGGCAAAAATGGGGAAAAATGGGGTGAACTGGGACAAACTGGGGCAAACTGGGGCAAAAATGGGGAAAAAATGGGGAAAAAATGGGGAAAAAATGGGGCAAAATGGGGTAAAATGGGGCCAAAATGGGACAAACTGGGACAAACTGGGATCAAAATGGGGTAAAATGGAGAAAAATGTGGTAAACTGGGCCAAACTGGGGCAAAAATGGGGTAAAATGGGGCAAAAATGGGGAAAAATGGGACAAAAATAGGCTAAAATGGGGGAAAATGGGGAAAAAATGGGGCCAAACTGGGGCAAACTGGGGAAACTGGGGAAACTGGGGTGAAACTGGGTAAACTGGGATGAACTGGGAAAAAACTGGGGAAACTGGGACCAAAATGGGGTGAAATAGAGAAAAAAAAGGAGTAAAATGGGGCTAAACTGGGCCAAACTGGGCAAAAATGGGGGAAAATGGGGAAAATGGGGAAAACTGGGCTGAATTGGGACAAATTGGGGCAAAAATGGGGTAAAATGGGCCAAAATTGGGCAAAAATGGGGTAAATTTGGAACAAATTGGGGTGAAATGGGTTCAGACCGGTTCAAACTGGTTCAGACCGGTTCAGACTGGTTCAGACCGGTTCGAACTGGTTCAAACTGGTTCAGACCGGTTCAAACCGGTTCAGACCGGTTCAAACTGGGAGCTGCCCCCCCCAGGTCCTGGCGTCGCTGCTGCGGCCCCGGCGCGGCTACAAGAGCACCTTCAGGGTGAGGACCCAAAATGGGCCAAAATCACCCGAAATTAACCCAAAAATGAACCCAAAATAACCCCACAAATAAGCCCAAAAATGAACCCAAAAATGCATCAAAAATAAACCCAAAATATCCTGAAAATATCCCCAAATAAACCCCAAATCCCCCCAAACCCCCCAAAATGACCCCAAATCCCCCAAATAAGCCCCAACCCCCCAAATCCCATTCAAATCCCCCAAACTCCCCCAAACCCCCCAAAATGACTCGAAGCTCCCCCAAAATGACCCAAAATAATCCCCGAATGACCCAAACCCCCCCAAAGCGACCCCCGCCCCGCAGGCCTCGGAGCTGGAGCTGCAGCGCTCGGGGGCCCCCGGGACCCCCCCGGCCCCCCGGGATCTGGTTTTCGGCAAGGTTTTCACCGACCACATGCTGACGGTGGAGTGGGACAGGGAGGGGGGCTGGGGGCGCCCCCAGATCCGCCCCTTCCAGGAGCTGCGGCTGCACCCCGCCTCCAGCGCCCTGCACTACGCCGTGGAGGTGAGGGCGGGGCTGAAAACCCCCAAAATCACCCCAAAAATACCCCAAAAACGTCATAAAAACAGCCCAAAAATCACCCCAGAATCAGCACAAAAACAGCCTAAAAACAGCCCAAAAATCCCCCAAAATCGGCCCCTTCCGCCTCCAGCGCCCTGCACTACGCCGTGGAGGTGAGGGCGGGGCTGAAAACCCCCAAAATCACCCCAAAAATACCCCAAAAACGTCCCAAAAACCATCCCAGAATCAGCACAAAACCAGCCCGAAAACAGCCTAAAAATGGCCCAAAAATCCCCCAAAATCGGCCCCTTCCGCCTCCAGCGCCCTGCACTGCGCCGTGGAGGTGAGGAGGGGGCTGAAAACCCCCAAAATCACCCCAAAAATAGCCCAAAAACACCCCCAGAATTACCCTAAAAACAGCCCAGAATCACCCCGAAAACAGCCCGGAATCAGCACAAAAACAGCCCAAAAATGGCCAAAAAATACCCCAAAAACATCACAAAGCCCAAAAATCACCCCAAAATCAGCCCAAAAACACCCCCAGAATCACCTCGAAATCAGCCCAAAATGGGCCCAAAAATCCCCCAAAAACCTCCCAGAATCAGCCCAAAACCAGCCCTGAAACAGCACAAAAATCATCCCAAAAACATCCCAGAATCAGCACAAAACCAGCCCAAAACTCACCCCAAAACCAGCCCAAAAACAGCCCCAGAAATCACCCCAAAATCCCCCAAAATCACCCCAAAAATCACCCCAGAATCATCCCAAAACCAGCCCAAAAATCACCCCAAAATCAGCCTGAAAACAGCCCCAAAAATCCCCCCAAAATCTCACAAAAATCCCCCAAAATCCCCAAAATCACTCAAAAATCCCCCCAAAATCACCAAAAATCCCCCAAATCCCCCCGAAATCACCCAAAAATCCCCAAAAATCACCCCAAAAATGCCCCAAATCCCCCCAAAATCCCCCCAACCCCCCAGCTCTTCGAGGGGCTCAAGGCTTTTCGGGGCGACGACGACAAAATTCGGCTTTTCCGGCCCGAGCTGAACGTGGAGAGGATGCAGAGGTCGGCCCGCAGGGTCTGCCTGCCCGTGAGTG